AACCTGAACACTTGGTGAACTAAGAAAGTCTGTGACCGAAAATACCATGTTGATTTTTGCTGGCTTATAGTCAAATTTAACGGTTCAATAAACAAAATTCTGACAATAAACTGCAAAAGTGCAAGAAATTCTTGATCCCGGACGAGCCCCCAATTCTGTTATGGGTCAGAATTACCCGAAATGCCAGCAAAGATCAATAACACAATTTAAACTTAACAATAATTTATTTACAGTAATATATAATAAGTATATGAAACATAAAGTACAAACTTAGCAAGAATCTAAAAATACATACATCAGAGTGTCCGTTGCTGCACACAATGTCCCAGTGAAATTATATCCCAGTAATACCTCAATGATGCTTATACGACAAAGTATCTCCATGCATCGAATTGACAGGGTATTTATACAGTAATATAAATCTAGAATATTCTAGAAATTGTTAAAACATGATATTACTGGAAAGTTCTGGACATACACAAAGTTCAGGATTGTTCTAGAAACAATGACCGAACATGTTGACCACTCTGGAATGTTCAAGAAACTTAATGTTACTAATAATAGACATGATGAAACAATACAAATACAACACACCTCACAACAGCCCAAACAAAGTACAAAATATAACAGTTAACCGATTGACAAATGGCATAGCCATATTTAATTCAAAAGACCCCCCACTTAATACAAATTGTACAGAATATGAGCCTCTATTCGCTACCGTTGAAATATGTGAAGTAAGAATCATAGGTATGTACTATAGTAAAAATAAATGTATTTATTTTTCAGTTATTAATTCAATAACCGAGATAAATTATTGATGTATTATTCAAGAAGACAAAGATAACGAAGACGAAAAACAATAAGACTGCCATGAAAACAGATTGTCTTTATTTTTTTTTTTTACAATGTTATAATATACGATTTTGTCGGTCTGTTGTAGGTTGCAGAGCTGGAGCTTACGGGGAAGGTTGCAAACCTTGTCCATCAATATGTCCTAACGAAAGCTGTGATGCATTCAATGGATCATGCAGATATCAAAAACCAGGTAATCGTATTGACCTCTTTAGGTTTTCAAACATTTTTTTTTTATTTTGAGTATACAGATAATTGATCCTTTTATGCATGTTGATAAACTAATCTAATTATAATAAACACTTTTATGTAATAGGTTTTCTTTGAAGGAATAAAATTTGAAGGAACAAACTTACTCTTTGAGCCACGATAATTTAAAAGGAATGTTAAAAAATCAGAAGCCGATAGTTATAGCATTGAAAATTCTAATTTCATTCATGAAATGAGAATTTTTGATATCTGCGTGTTCCATTGTTCCTTTGGCACGCTACAGTCCTATAACTGCTCGATAGCCATGGAGGCCGCTTTAAGGTTTTTCATCTGTATATGGTCACTTCTCTATATGAATAAAAATTCTCGAACGAGATGTAAAAATCTTCAATCAATCAAGGGCAATTTTTAACATCGATTTTTATTCTTTAATGCTGAGAACATTTAAAAGAAATTAAAAAAAAACAACATTTAAACCTTGTATGCTTGAAAAAATTATGAAGGATGCAAATCTAATGGAAAATTCTTTGATTTTTTTTAAATCCCTGTCAATTTGCATTGCTGTAGACTTAAGCATATGCAGTTGTGGACACAGAATTTTTATAAGAAATCTAACACTATGAGTGTCGAATTCGAGAAATTTTGAACTTATATTGTAAGAATATTAAACTATTTAGATCTGATAGCAACGTACATGGATGTAGACATTATTCCCTGTCCTTGAAATTTCCTGATAATTCAAAGGTTTTATGTATTTCTGCCACGCGTCTTCAGCATCATTGTCTGACTTTCTCACGGATAAAAAACCTTATCAAGGACTACGAGAAAAGAATTCGTTTTCTACTCTAACCTGTTTTTGACATATTAAAACAATTTCAGTCTTCATATCTTTTCAATGTATAAATTTGAAACCACAAGAAAGAGCATTTTGAGGACAATTCATAGGAATGTTAACAAGTTCAACTGCTTTTGTACAAACTGAACAATCTAGTTGATAATTCAAAAAGGAATACATTTTACAAACAAATAAGAAGGAAATAATCTTCTCCGATGATTCGAAGCTCTTACTTTCAGTTGAAAAAATATCAAATGCATATTTTAAAACATTTTTTTTATTTTTTTAAGACAATGGTTGTTCACAGACACCAAAGACTTTCATAGTGATCCTTCTCGCCGTTTCAGCATTTCTTATTGTCATTACAACAACCATTTTGACTTTTAGAGTACGTCGAAAAAGAAACCAAAAGCACAAAGAGAGAAATCAGAAAGATACCAAGACAGCTGTAAACTTACATTTCTACGACAAAATTAAAAAGACACAAGGGGAAAATGTGTATAGTAAAATTAACTTTGCAGTGAATGTGTCTCTTTATGAAGAAATTCACATATAAAAATAAATGTTCCAAGATTTTTTTTTTTTACAATTTGTTTTAATGTCATGAGAATGTAATTCTCGTTTAATTGGAAAATATTATGGTTCCTTGAAATGTGGACATGAGTTAATATGAAAATTATATTTACAATTCGTTTGTATGTCATACAAGTACCCCCATGAGATTTAAAGGCTCGTGTACCTTTAATAACTTTATAACTTTTTCACCTGTAAATGTTTCGATTGACTGATGCACCATTTAAATTTATTATTAAACAGCGTCACATTTTTATTTGTTCACATAATTGCGCTAAAGCTAATATATAAGAGATTGTTGATATTATCACTGTCAATATTCATGACGATTTTAGATACGCGTGAACTGACCCAAAACAGATTACTAGTATACTCGAATAATTTAGCCAAGAATTAGAGCCATCATTTAACTTTTGTTCATAAATAATACAACGTCAAATAGTGTTATCTTTTTCTCATGTACATTTTAGTAGTTCTTTGTAAAATAAATTATGCTATAAAGAGATTAGACAAACTAACAGCTAAAAAAGAAGCACAGTGTCTTCTTGAACTCTAACATTGTGTTGATAAATTTGATCTCTGGTGTCCAAAGGCACCAAAATATTTTAAATACCAGTACATTGTAACTAATTCTTTTTTTTAATTTGGATTGTTTTTGTGGTTTTTAACGAAGTGACGATTCACAGAATGTGAAAGATTGGCGAAGAAGTACCCTTTCTAGTTCAGATACTTAAAATGGAGCTCCAAAGTGGAGCTGTGGAGCAAATAACATCATCAATCATCATGGAGACAAAACACACCCTGCATGCATGAATGGTTTAAGAATTGATCATTAAATCGAAAGAAGATATCAGTCTTTGTTGAAGGACACAAAAGAAATGACCTAGATGATCAGACATGACCATTAAAACGCTACAGTGAATAAAGGGATAGCAAATGATCTTGTGTGGTCCCTTAACAGGATTTTCCATGACGTAAATATTGAGATTTTGTTGCACTATTTATTAATGGTGTTTTGAAAATGTGAATAATGGGGGTTTAAAATGGAAAGGGTCGAAAGGGAATGCTCACTCCTCGATGACACTTATTTTATCATAAAGGTAGCTCTTATTAAGCCATTTACGTCTTTTTTCCTAGTATAAGATCCAAATTTGAAACAGATGTGTTAGACTCTATGGTATCTTATATTTCCAATAATAAACTTGGACAGAAAAAATTAGCAAAAAGACTCTGTACGAATACTTGATATCGCGATTACTTAACTTAGCGGAACTCTTTCGCGAAGGAGGTAGGAATCGTCTGTTGGGTGGGGGCAATGTGCTTTTCAATACAATGCAAGATCGATCATTGTAGCATTTATAAGGACAGATAAGTAAAAAATCCTGGTGGAATACCTCGCTAAACAATTGCTGAACTAGCCTAATATATTTTTGAGAGGAGCCAATCCTAAATTGTCACATTTCTAACGACATTTTTAATTAAGCGGACTCTTCTCGTTAAATTTTCTTTGAAAATCGTCACATTTTTAAGCATATAAAATATTCTAATCTTTCCTTATTTGACAATCTACTATCTGGAGTTCAATATCTGGCAAAATATCGTGATTTCGGCATTGAATTGTTCGAATCATTCGATTGTCACTACTCTAAACAATGTCATTTGCCCCCAGAAATGTAGACTTTTCTCGACTCCCCAGCAAAAGAGCGGTAGTAAGTTAGATAACTGCGAGGTACTCATTGGTAGTCGCGATATAACGTATTAATGGAAATTTAAAAAATAAATGCATGTAACAGCAGCAGTACTCTGTCATTTCTTTTACCAAAAATAAAATTACCCTCTTATTTGCTTTTTTTTCCAAAAAATGATAACAGTTTTACATTCTTCCTTTTGAAAAGTAGGTTGAGCATACCGCTCTGTATGTAATATTTTGATTTAAAAAATACCTTTGTAGATCTTTAAATTTTATGCAAATACCGTATAAGCAGAATTTTAAGCAAAAAATTTATTTTTTGCATTGCATGTATTAGCAAGGGTTCTGTGATCGCTAAAATTAAATACAGCAAAAAAATAAACTGTGTCTAATTTTTGATTATAATCTCTTTAGTGAGCACTTTAAAATCGTTTATATTACTTCTCGCTTAAAATAAAATACCATATTATAAGGATTGCTAATATCGCTAAAATTGCGTCTCGCTAAAATGTCCACCTACATGATAAGAGTTTTCTGATTTAAAATATTATTCAATACATATTCTTTTTTTTTTTATAAATGTTTGACTTTCCATTCACTTTCTCAATGTATCTTATTGGTTGCATACTTCTCAACTGGTGTTTATTTTTTTGCCAAACAAAAATATTTCACTTAATGAGGAACAATTAATTTGAAAAGGTACAATTAAACATGATTGTTCTCATTTGGGTTTATCCATTCATGTCCTATTGTTGATATTTGTATATTTTATTTCTTTACAGACGTTACTATATAATTGAGTATTAAAACAAAAACTAATATATACATGTATGTACGACATAATGGCTTTTGTAGAAAATATATACATTGGATTAATTTTTGTTGTGTTATCAGAATCGCTAGGTAGTCATTTCTAAGCATTTAATCAAAGTCATTTTACATCAGAGTTATTCTACAGATGTTGAGAGTTTTCACGCATTATGTTTAAAAAATTTCATACTGTTCTATGTTTCTAATCAACATGGTTTTAATTTTTTTTTAATCCCTGCAGTTATTTCCCAAACTTTGACGCTTTTATGTGGACAATAAACATAGTTAAATGTACGTCGACTTTTTAAATGATGTTGTGTTTTCATGCATTTATGAATTTATTGATTGATTGTTTAGTTTGACGCCCCTATTGAGAATTTTTCACTCATATAAAGTCGCTACTTCATGGCAAGGGAGAGGTACAAATTCTGTCCTATACTCGGCACTTAAGGCCGTAAAACAGTGAGGGATCTTATTCTTGGCAGCACCTACTGTGACACAGGACCTCGGTTTATACGGTCGCATCCGAAGGACAGGTCTCCGCGTGCCACAGTAGAATTTAAACCTCGACGTAAGGAACAAGTCCTTACTTCAAAACTCTACAGCAAACGTTTTAACCACTGCGTAACACGGGCGACTTCGCAGTTTTGAAAATGATAAGGTTTCACGTGCACAAGTACATATTTAAATTCTAAGTTCTTCCTCGGTGTATGGTGGATGTCATATCGCAATGGACGTTAAGTATTCATGAGTTGCTCACACTCAATTTTTTTTCTAACAGGAAGTTCTTTATTAATAATAACCAATGATTTCCCAGCTCCTTCTTTCAGTAGCATAGTTAGCTCATTAATCACTTGTTTTTTATTAAATTAAAAAAATAATTGCGCTTTTAGGTTTTTTTTATTTGTTTTATATTTAATCACTTTCTTGCACATTTATGTTCGTTTTCCGCTTTTAGGGATTTTTTCCCTACAAGTAGTGATAATACGTTAAAGATTTTAATTATTTAAAATTTTAAATGTCCGACATGATGCATGAGCGTATTCAGCAACATTTTACAATAGTGATTATTCAAAATATAAGGACAATCCCAGGCACATAGTAATACAATGAAAATTCAAGAAGATCAACGTAAGTCGATGTTCAACGTAAGTCGTATTCGTATCAAGGTATGCAAGATAATGAAGTTAAACAGTATCAAGGTATCATATGAAATTGAATGCATAACACATACATATAAGGACTAAAAACTTGGACATAAAATCCTTTAGAAAATTTTTCTTGATACATAAAAAAACCAGTGGTCAACATGTATTCTGCATTCATGAATTAACAAACTAGTGTGTATTTCAGGGATTCATATGACGAAATATATCTGCACTGTAACCGACAGTTATTCAAACGCTTATGGTCTGCGAAACAAAAAAGGAAGGGATGGGGTGGGGGCATTAAAAATTGCCTAAAATCTACATTCAAATACGCTTTACATTTGAGAACTCTGATATATGTAAGTTAGTATATTTTTAAAGTAAAAGCAATATTCCAATTTGATTTTTTCAAACGTGTATTTGTAGATTCATAGCATTGCATTTGACCCACATCTGAAAGACGCGCGGGAAAGTGATTGATGGAGAAAGGGGGAGGGGATAATTTTCTGTTATCAAATCAAAACTGGTGGTACAAAAATTATACAAAAAATTATGAAGATTATTTTTACTACAAACTATTAAAAGAAAGTTTTTACCTAAATTAAACGACAGGTTTTTTCACAAAAAAAAATTGAAATTGAAAAATACACTATTTTCAAGGCTTGGATTAATCATTGTTTTTCATTTTAAGGTCTTGATGATGTGTATTTCAAAAAGATGACTATATTTTTGTGTTAGATTATTACAAGAATAAGCTGATGAAAATTGACAGTTATAGCTAACCTGGCTTTTTTGAAAATCAAGGTTTAAGTAGTTCATTGATTAAAAATTAAATGGGGGGGGGGGTAATTTTGGAATTTCTTGTCCAAAAACTACTCTAATAATTTTGTCCAAAATGTGCATACACACAGAAGATTTAATCTTGTAACAAATAGCAAAAATTGAACGACAATATTTTTTGGGTGGGGGTGTTGTACCTCAAATATTATAGAACTATTTAGCTTCTCCCCTCTCTCTCTCTCTCTCTCTCTCTCTCTCTCTCTCTCTCTCTCTCTCTCTCTCTCTCTCTCTCATTAGATAACGGACATGATAAAGCAAAAGTTGGATTTTTTGAAAACGCTTCTCAGTCAGTGAAGAAAAGTAATAAACAAGATTTTCATTTTTTTCAAAATTGTTCAAATTGAAGTCATTTTTGTCTATCATGTATAAACATTTGCTTTTTTTCCATTATGTTGCAGTTTTGTAATGTTTGTATAAAAGAAAAACATCACATGTTATGACAGAAAAATTAAAAAAAATGACCAAAAATTATATATTTGCACCAATTAAAGAAATCGAAAAAGAAACATATACTGAGGAAAATTCTTTTAAGAGGATATATTTGAAAATCAGACACCAAGAAGTTCTTTTAATCAAAGGTCATTTGTTTCAAAATAATTCATGACTAAGACGTCTTTTTATTGGTTTTGATATATGATTTAAAATGCAGATGTTATAGTTGTTAAAACAATAATCACTATTCAGATAAATAAGGAAGTTGTTACAGTAGTTTTACTTTTTAAAATTATTTTTATGCATGTTTTAAAAAATGACAAATATAGAGATAACAAAAAGGAAGTAATATGAACATAAAATCTAGTACATGTATTAAATACTTCAACTGAACATTAAAATACGCAACACGGTAAATCGGAGAAGATGAATGCTTTACTAGAAATTATATATAGTGGACTGGCATTTGTTTGTATAGCAGTTGGTCTAGGTAATCTTAATTTTGCACGATATTAAATTAAGTTAATCACAATGAAATAATTTAAATGATATAATGTGTTCTTTATTACTAAAAAGGCCTTATGTTGTATAAATTATTGCTTATAGGGTTGTTTTGCTTTCGTAATTTTCAACCATTTTAACTCCGAATTTATTTTATTTGGAACTCGAATCGATCGGCCACCTATTTGATAAGGCATTATGCTTTAAATTTGACGTCGTTTTTTCACTAGAAGGCGAATACGTAGCGTAAACATTTTCCCGAATGAAATAGCTAGTAAAATTGATAACTAATTTCAAGAATAAAAGATAAGACACATTTCGCTAAATTACGTTCAATAAGAACTTTTAAAAGTTTGACTCGGAAAGACAGATTTTTTTCAGGTGCACAAAAAAAGCTGTCGAAAGATTCAAATCAAGGATCAGTAAATATCATATGAAGTAACTTACATGTAAAACAAGTAGCTGTCCTTTAAAAAAAAGGTCTACAGTACATGGACCATACGCATATTTGTTTCTAACCGAAATTCAACTTATGATAATAGAAAAATTTCATTGAATATTCATATAGGTTAGTTCAAATTTCCTTCAATAATCTGCATACTTTGATTGATAGAACTTTCATAGCAAAATTGTTATTGTTAGTCTGATTGGCCTATAAATTACTCATTTAGAAAAAAATAGTTATTTTAATACATATAATAAAAAACGGCGGGGACTTACTATATATTCGAGATTTATTCGTAAGAAATCTAACACTGGCAAAATAGATCTGATAGTACACGTGTAGCAAAGCTCTGTAGTACGCATATTTTTTTTTAGCCCCAACCCCTCCCCTATATGAAAAAAAAGTTGCTAAATACTTTATCAAACCTTGTCCGGATTGCTAAATATCAAACTGTTTTAGAGCCTTGATGCGCAAAACCAATGCCGCTGAAGACTTGTTCTATCTTTTAAAAGCTAGAACTCGTCGTTGAATGAAGTTTTTAATTCAAGTTGTATCTGTATCTATACACATATATGTATATATACCATAGAATCATTGTTTAGTTAACTTTGTATATAAAAGTGTGTGCATTAGAGCGAAATTTTGATCAGTCAATAAATATATAAATACGATATGCAAATTTAACAGCAAAATTTGCTAGTGAATGACGTATTCTAATTCTAATAGGGCAAATTATTCTACGGGCATTAACGCGCATTAACGGACATTAACGCGCATACATTGAATGACGTATGCCCAGGGCATCGGGTTTAGCATCGCTTATATATTTTCTGCGTGGACTTCAGAGTCCATGCAATAATTGTTTACCATAATTTAAAAAACCCAAACGCAAATCATGGAAATGAGATAGCAAGTAGTTGTTAAAAGTATTAAAATCAAATTAATCTATGCGAACTGAAAGAGATATGACTTTGTTAGTCAGCAAATACACTTTATCATTTAGTCAAATTTAGTCAAATGCTGACTTAATATTTTTTATACAGATTGTTAGATCATCATTTGCAGACTGAGTTGTCCATGAGTTTTTGCCGGTTTTTTTTTTTTTTTTTTTTTTTTTTTTTTGAACATGACATAATCCTTCTTTTGATATGGTCGTTTAGCTTCCGTACGTTTAAACTTATGTTTTATAATCAATTTTCCTGCCTCTTACTGTTGTGCCGAGAAATGTTTCCGGGAGTGAATGTTTAAGCCCTGTTCAACGTTTGTTCTGTATGTTTTTTTTTTATCAATAATTTCTCCTTATTTTCTCCAATGTTATCGAAAGTTTTCAAACATCTCCCTACTTGGGTAAATATCAGCATTTTAGAAAAGAAAATCATGAGGATATCAACATTTTCCTTTCGATTTATATGTAAGGATTTGCTATGATGTCTCTTGATTTGTTTTCTTCTTCACGTGACAAACACATATATTTAAAGTTTTGCACAAAATTCGTAAAGGTACAAGTTCAATACCGAATTCATTGTAAATTGATAGTTACATAAGTCAATAAATCACTCAGTTTTGCATATAAAATGTTACGCTATATTAATATTTTGATAGACAGCTAATGTAAGGCCTTTATTTTTAAACTGAATTTACTATGGAAAGTTCCTCTTTTTTTTAATGCACAAAATTCAAGGCATGTGTGACAAGTAAATGTGCATGTACGATTGTCTATTCCTGAGTACATATACCTGGACAAACCTTTGAAATTCCAATGATCCGTCTTCATGTCCTCTTAAGATTTTTGTATAGTTTTATAGTTTTATTTTTAAATCGATCTGGCCCCAAGACCATAAAATGAGAACAGACCTAAATCAAAATTTCAAACCAATATTATTTTTTGAATCAACTCTGATAACAAAACAACATTTTTTTCCATATTGTTAAATAAGAATATTATAAAAATCTGCAAAGTAATTAGAATTATGTATTTTAAATCACATGTTATTAAAATTCAAAATATTGACTTAAGTCTGTTCTCAGTTTTTGGTCTTGGAGTCGACCATCACTTTTCTCTAGAGTTGTCTTTTACAACAATTTCAACTTATTTCTATATTAGGAATAATTTGTCATTCTTCATCAAAATTTATACAAAATGAGATAAATAGCAATTTCAAGGAAAATCCGGCTACAAGATATTCATCAATATTAACATAGAATGTTAAGTCAAGTTTGGAGTGCCTTGAGTAATATACAATTATTGCTGTCAATACGATCATTTAGATACGTGAGGAGTACAATATTCACTAAGCCCGAAGGATGAAGTGAATGTGGTACTTCGAAGGTGGCTAAATCATCGTATTGACTGCAAAAAAAGTAGAGAGTGTCTTGAGTAGTATACAGTTAGTGCTCTTTTTTAGTTCAATACGCTGATTTAGACATCTGAGGAGTACAATATTTACTGAGCTCGAAGAATGAAGTGAATATTGTATTTCCAAGGTGGCTAAATCATCGTATTGATTGCAAAAACAGCAATAACTGTTTTATTATGTTAATATTTATTATTTAAAATTGAATTAAAATTTATCATGATTAAATCATAGCAAAATCCCACAAGACTGTTTCTTTGCTTTAATTGAAAAATTTAACAAGAGGTTTCAACAAGAACACATTGTAACAGAAAAATCTATCAAAATCTATCTTATAAAAAAGACTGACATTTTATTTTTTTCATGGCAACTAAAATTGATATTTAAAAAAACATTCAAAACGGTTGAGTACTGCTAAACGCTTCTTGTAGTTCATCGTAAGTGTACTCGGTTCAATTCCTTAGTTATTTCGAATTTAGTTATATCAATTGCTATTTTCAGTACGTAGTTAATTTAAAGTTATGTTTTTTCCTAGATCTGTGGGGGTTACTATAAAACGTTTAGCTGTTCAGTCTCGATATGTCCGTATTATATACATGGACGCAAAGAATTTAACAGTAAAAAATTTTATTTCGTATGAGCATGCAGTATAAAACACATAAGGTGAAAACTTCATTATTCACACCTTTGTATATCAACTGGGCAATCAGGCATAATTACTGTCACCAACCGTAACGACAGCGCCATGGAGTACTTCAATATAACCGTTATGAAAACAACTCATTATTACCTGTGGGGACCGATCAATGGCTTCAATATAAGCGATATTTCAATATATCCGATTTCAATATAACCGTTATTTAAATGCAAAGAATATGAGAGGCAAAAAATGGGGATTTATTTCTATTTAAAAATAAGCGGAATTTCAAAAATATCGAGTTCAATATAAGTGGAGTAAACTGTATTGACATGGAAGGTCACGTCCAGGTCAATATAACGTAGTATTTCTAATATTATTGGATCTCAGACAATCCGAGAAAAGGAAACTACTTAATCATATAATGAAAAGGTATTATGGTGGTATAGTTTTACTTGGTACGTATAATTATGATGTATACAGGCAGATTTTAGAAGATAAGGCATGTGCATTGTGACGTTTATCCTAACCGCAATCGTCCTTAGTATTCCAAGAACTTACCATAGAATAGAGCATATACCGCAAGTATTCAGTGAAAAAAGATTACTGTGGTTGTTTCAGCCAGAGAGCACGAGCGATGATATCAACTTTTTCCATCAGTAGACTGTGTCGTTTAAAAATGGATCGTACTTGATGTATACGTTTTATTAAATATAATAAATTTTTTAAAAAAGTGGAAAAACATTTACTCACGGATAACGTAGTAATCCGCTGAATACATTTCAGAAAATCTAGCTCAAAACCCAGTGTATATGGGAGCAGCTTCTCAAAGTTCAGTTCACAAAGACAATTGGGCGGCAGCAGACAAAGCAGTAGATGGACACACTCTAGAGGAAAGTGGAAAGGATTACTGTAGCTTTACACGTGCTAACATATCAAAAACTGCATGGTGGAAATTACCTTTGCTTCACAAGTCCAATGTCGCTTACTTGCTACTTTTCCTCAGACAATTAAGTATACAATTTAATCATTTTAGAATTACAACAGAACAAGAATAGTATAAAATCATATAACATGTATAAGTGGATACGATAGGAAAATACAAATTATTTTCAATTTATTTAAATTCCTGTTTGCTGCCGAAATATCAAAGGCAAAAATCCATTTAACGATTGAATATTTCCATTTCCAATTGTTTCCCCTATGATAAACACTACAAAAGTGAATCTTGTTTATTTCTTCGTGATTCCTGTGGCATGCACATTTCTCTATTGAAATACTAATGAAAGGTCAATGTCAAACTTGAATGTATATGAGTGGCGTTTAAATACATTGAAGAAAAAATGTTTTGTTTAATTGTTTACAAATTAATTAGATATAATATATTTTTTACAAACAAAATAAATAATGAATTATCTTCGAATCAATAACAAGTCACTAGTGCGACGCTGTCCATTATCACCAAGGCCTTGCGAGACCGAGAACTTCACTTCCGTAAACATGTTAAACAGCCAATCTGAACCACGTAGATTGATTGATTGATTGATTGTATATTGTTTAACGTCCCTCTCGAGAATTTTCACTCATATGGAGACGTCATCGTATGCCGGTGAAGGGCATCAAATTTTGACCTTTACTCGGCACTCAGGGCCATTGAGCAGTGAGGGATCTTTATCGTGCAAACGCCTGCCGCTGACACGGGGCCTCGTTTTTTAATGTCTCATCAGAAGTATCCGCAACTTTCACTTCAAAGTGCCGAGCGCATGGCGAAGGAACAGTTGATACCAATTTTAACGACTAGGTCAGTCGCGGCCGAGATACGAAATCACGACCTCCCGAATACGGAGCGAGCGCTCTACCGACTGAGCTACCGTGAACGGTAAACCACGTAGAGAAATAAGCATTGCAACATAAATCATCCGATACAGACATCGTCCCTCAGTCGTTACCATCCATCTTCTTACGCCCTTCAACGTTTTCTGTTATTTTAACACACGCAATTCAGTTTTAAGATCATGTTGACCAACTCCTGTTCCATCAATAGCAACAGTGCAATCAAAATGGCGGCGGAGAAGTGCCCAAGTGTTACACTCGTGTTCGTGCTTCAGACAACCTAAGTCTAGGTCACATATATAATTAGTGTGTAAGATTGCTTTGGTCGTAATATAAAGTTCTTTTTTGTTTATTTTATAAATGTTGATATTTAGCTGCAGTATAATTAAGTAATCATTAAGTTTGTTTCGTGTTTGTATGGAACTACTTTTTATAGTAAAATTTGACGTCACAGGTCGGCCGATAGAAAATAACATGGAATGCCTTGTGTATTTCAAATCTACTAAATTGGACGATACATAAACAAACAAAATTGAAAATATAAGGAATCACTGTCTAGTTTTGAGAGTATGTCAGGGCCTTCAACAATAGTGGGAAAATGAGATTATTTTAGCATAACGGGCTTTTGCACTATTGTTGATGCCCTGGCATACTCTCAAAACTAGACAGTGATTCCTTAAATATTTCTTATTGATCCAAAAATGACGGTAAGAACTTATAATCGTCTGTGTTTACTAGTATGTGATATCAATCCAAATTTACTTTCGTACATTAGAACAAAATAGGTTGATATTGTTAATATCGATCCAAATAGATTTGGAAAAGTATTCCTAACTCAATTTGTAAGTTCTATGGCCGACACCATGACTCTATCAGCAAGTAAAATTTATCATTGAGTCGAATGCTGACTGTTTTTCGAAGTTAGACCATCTTGAACCACTAAGTTGTCAACGGAATTTTTCGTTATTTTCCGATCATGACAAGGAGCACGGGGCGGATATGGCCATTTGGCAGGGGATGCTTACTCCTTAATGGTACCTGATTCCATCTTTAATGTTTTGGGGGTCCAAGTTAAGTCTGCTCTAATTTTGTATTGTAAAGGATTTTGAGCTTGAAAAATATTCGTTTTTCCATACATTTTGAACTCATAGCTAGTAAAAAGTCTAGGTAGTCTACCAAAACACCACTAATATCTGTACAATTTAAGCTTTTAAAATCTTAGCTTTTTATTGAATGCTAAGTTTTTAATGCGTATATGAGAATATTTGAAACAATCCGAATACGGACTTTCAATATAGAACACTCCATTGTAAACGAAATATGTCGTCTGGTTAACATCACAGTTTAATATATGTGCATTTTGATTTTTTTAATGGATTCATTATCAATTTGAACTAGTAAGTGAATAAAATGAATGTAAAAAAAGAGACATGATTGTATTGAAAACAATAACAATTTCAAAAACACAAAAAAACTTATATTTTAAACACAGGTTGTTTTGATATAATATAGTCAAAATTGAAATAAAATTATGCTCAAGTTATTCTCTTTTTTTTCCTAGCCATAAATCGGCATACTGGTTTCAGTGTGTTTGTTTTTAATGAGCCATCGTACATACCTCCATCTACTGGAGGGTATAGAGTGTTCAAGCAGGATCCATCATCATGTCCAAAACATGTGACGAATGTCACCGTTAACAGACTGATTAAAGGAATAACACTATATAATTCCAAAACCCCTCCACTCATAACAAGCTGCGCAGGATATGAACCTTCATATGCCAGTATTGAAATATGTGAGGTAATGGTAATGGGTACGTAATTTTTAACAGATTATAATGTAGATACAGTATGCTAAGGGTGTTTAAAAATTAGTGGATCTGCACAGCAAAACAATTCTGTAAAAGGTAACAGAAATTTGTATAACATTTGATTCAGTTTCGTATTTTGCACACGTCTGCCAAAAATCAAACCTATGACCCCAATAAGAGAGTGAAAGTTTGCTATTGATATTTTTTTCTCATATAAATAAACACTAATTGCACTGGCACTTTTACTTTACCTGGACATTGTAAACGTACCCTTCGTTAATTAGCATATCTCGGGTCTTGTTCCATGATAACTTTCTCTTCCAGTGTCTAAAATTTGAAATGGGATGGTCATATTGTGTTAGATATGGCTGAATCAGTTGAGGATCTATGCATATTGAGAGAACAAAGCATTTGATATTATTCAGATCTTGTGAGAGGAGAGACATTCTTTATTCAAATATACTAATGTTAAGCACATCATGCTCTCTGTAATATTTTTTTAATTTTTTCTTAAGGGTGTCACTATCAACACTATGGAGAAAACTGCGCACCATGCTCAGAAAAATGTCTGAACCAAGAATGTGATGCATTTAATGGTTCCTGTATTTATGGATGTAGTAACAATTTACTTGAACCACCACACTGCACTAGTAAGTTGATTAATACTTTAATTTTCTTACACACGAACGTCTCCATATCGATAAAATACATTCGAGAGTAACATTTAACAATATACAATCAATCAATCAATCAATCTTACAAAAATTCATTGCAAAGATCGAAATATTTGCACACTGAATCAAAATGAAAAAGGCATAACATATCCGGTATCTGACAGACATTAATTGCATTCTAGGTTGTGTAGATTATAAATATGGACCAAGCTGTGCATTCGACTGTGGCCATTGTAAGGAGGGTAAACCATGCTCCAAGACAAACGGAACGTGTTTTGATGGGTGTGAGGCAGGCTGGACGGGGATTTTATGTTTGAAAAGTATTATTATCTGATACTTTGAACAATATTAATACCTTTCATTCCTTATCAAATTTAAGGATATTTTTTTTCTTTATGTTTGAGAACTTAAAAATAAGCTGCGAGCATGAATTGTATGTATTCAATGAAATGAAGAAATGTTTTATGCAATTTTTATGATGAATGGAATTTTTTTAAATATTTGAATTCATTATAAAAAATATTTGATTATTTCGGTAATCTCTTTTTCAGTTTCATCGTCCGCTGGTGATGCAGGTGAGGACAAATAAAAGATAATTTTTAAAAATCGTCGGATTCATTCTCAGAGCACTCAAGATTTGGTTAGGAAACTTATTAGCCCAAGCATAGGCATTACATTAAATGGAGTGCTTATTTAAAAAAGTCTAATCTATAAACTATCAAATTATAGCGAACGCAGAGAGGCTCGTGAAGCGACGCTCGTCACTACGAGCTATTAAAGCAACGCCTGTGCGAAGAGAAAATTCGGACTACTGCATATTCAATTGAAAGAATTGTTTGACGCAGTGATTTGGACCCAAAATGAATCACTTGTTTTAGCTATGTTCTCGCGAGAATAACGGCAAATGTTCAAGAAAAAGTCTACTCGCCTTGATTTAAAGGGATACATATTGAAGATAAATATACTAAATGAAACGTTCTGCATTAACGTTCAGCACTGTCCTGGTTATACCCGCACTTTCTAAAGAAAGTTCGGGTATATTGTTGTTACTCATGTCCGTCCGTCCGTCCGTCCGTCCGTCCGTCCGTCCGTCCGTCTGTCACACTTTTCTTCCCTGAACTCCTCCTACATTTTACACAGTAGCTTAATCATCTTTTGGGAGATGGTTTGTGGGGTCATATAGATGTGCAGTAAGCTTTCGGAATTTTGATTTTGTCCCAGGGGGTCAAATGGGGGTCGAAAAATGACGTTTTTTAAGCAAAAAGCTCCGTCTTCCCTGAACTCCTCTTACATTTTACTCAGTAGCCTAACCAGCTTTTGGGAGATGGTTGGTGGGGTCATGTAGATGTGCAGTAAGGTTTTGGAATTTCGATTTTGCCCCGGGGGGTCAAATGGGGGTCGAAAAATGACGTTTTTTGTCCAAAAAGCCCCGTCTTCCCTGAACTCCTTCTACATTTTACTCAGTAGCCTAACCAGCTTTTGGGAGATGGTTGGTGGGGTCATGTAGATGTGCAGTAAGCTTTCGGAATTTTGATTTTGCCCCAGGGGGTCAAATGGGGGTCGAAAAATGACGTTTTTTGTCCAAAAAGCCCCGTCTTCCCTGAACTCCTTCTACATTTTATTCAGTAGCCTAACCAGCTTTTGGGAGATGGTTGGTGGGGTCATGTAGATGTGCAGTAAGCTTTCGGAATTTTGATTTTGCCCCAGGGGGTCAAATGGGGGTCGAAAAATGACATTTTTTAAGCAAAAAGCTCCGTCTTCCCTGAACTCCTCTTACATTTTACTCAGTAGCCTAATCATCTTTTGGTAGATGGTTGGTGGGGTCATGTAGATGTGCAGTAAGCTTTCGGAATTTTGATTTTGCCCCAGGGGGTCAAATGGGGGTGGAAAAATGACGTTTTTTAAGCAAAAAGCTCCGTCTTCCCTGAACTCCTCTTACATTTTACTCAGTAGCTTAACCAGCTTTTGGGAGATGGTTGGTGGGGTCATGTAGATGTGCAGTAAGGTTTTGGAATTTCGATTTTGCCCCGGGGGATCAAATGGGGGTCGAAAAATGACGTTTTTTGTCCAAAAAGCCCCGTCTTCCCTGAACTCCTTCTACATTTTACTCAGTAGCCTAACCAGCTTTTGGGAGATGGTTGGTGGGGTCATGTAGATGTGCAGTAAGCTTTCGGAATTTCGATTTTGCCCCAGGGGGTCAAATGGGGGTCGAAAAATGACGCTTTTTGTCCAAAAAGCCCCGTCTTCCCTGAACTCCTTCTACATTTTACTCAGTAGCCTAACCAGCTTTTGGGAGATTGTTGGTGGGGTCATGTAGATGTGCAGTAAGGTTTTGGAATTTTGATTTTGCCCTGGGGGGTCAAATAAGGGTCGAAAAATGATGTTTTTTATGGAAAAAGCCCCATCTTCCCTGAACTCCTCTTACATTTTATTCAGCATCCTAATCATCTTTGGGAGATGGTTGGTTGGGTCATGTAGATGTGCAGTTAGGTTTCGGAATTTTGATTTTGCCCGGGGGGTCAAATGAGGGTTGAAAAATGACGTTTTTTATGGAAAAAGCCCAGTCTTCCCTAAACTCCTTTTTTGTTTTAAACAGTGGTCTTATCATCTTTTGGGAGAGTTCACTCTTTTGAAATTTTGTTAAAACATCAAGGTCAAGGGGTAAAAAATCATAGCATGTTGGGAGCCTCTTGTTATGGGTAATGTTCACTTGAAATGTGAAAGTCAAATCTCTTCTCAATGAAAAGGAAATACAACATTAATGAAAACTAAGTTAAACTTCAAGGTCAAGGTCACAGAGTCAAAAAGTCATGATACATTTTGGAAGGTCTTATCACAGGTAATATGAATGCCCTTTCATTTATCTTTCAAAATGATCAATTCAAAGCAATTAATTTTTTTAAGGAAATTAGGTCAAACTTCAAGATCATGGGTAATGAAAATCATATTGTATGTAGAATGGTATTGTCCCATTTAATACTAATACACATATTTAATATAAAAGTCCTATCTCTTCTCATTCAAAATATACGACCATGATGACCAAGGTTAAATTTATTGTGACAGATAGGCAGATTGACAAACAAATGAGATTTAATGTACCCTACCTTTAGCAAAAATGGGGACAATAAATGTCTTTGCTGTTCTTGAGAAGAAGATTTATGTTGGAACAAGATGTGTTTGTGAAACACTACGCGCCCGGCGGCAACAAAGTTAAAAAAATCTTCTTTTAGCATATTGATCACAGTCAAGGTCACAAGGTCATTGACCATGGTGTCATTCGAAAGAACTTAATCAGTGGAGTATGCGTACTAAATATGAAGTCCCTATCTCCCATGGTTCAAAAGTTGTGGCAAAAAGTGTAAAGAGCTATTTTTAGCATATCCGTCACAGTCAAGGTCACAAGATCATTGACCTTGCCGTCGTTTGAAAGGACTTTATCGGTGGAGTATGCATACCAAATATGAAGTCCTTATCTCTGATGGTTCAAAAGTTATGGCAAAAAGTGTAAAAAGCTATTTTTAGCATATAGGTCACAGTCAAGGTCACAAGATCATTGACCTTGATGTCATTTGAAAGGACTCTATTAGTGGAGTATGCATACCAAATATGAAGTCCCTATCTCCTATGGTTCAAAAGTTATGACAAACAGTGGAAAAAGCTATTTTTAGCATATAAGTCTTAGTCAAGGTCACAAGGTCATTGACCTTGAAGTCATTTGAAAGGTTTTTATTAGTGGAGTATGCTTACCAAATATGAAGTCTCTATCCCTTATTGTTCAAAAGTTATGGCCAAGGTTAAAGTTGACAAACAGACAAACAGATAAACAGACAAACAGACAAACAGCAGGACAAAAACAATATACGCCCGGGATCTATCGATCCGGGCGCTTAAAAAGTACCCTGCATATTTAAATGTAAATTGGTTGAAATTAGCCTAGTGGTTCTTAAGAAGTTAATGTGAAAAGTTTGCAGATAAACGGATGGACAACAGAAATCAGTACATTTCAGAAAACAGTATGCTTATAAATAGTTAATCAAGGTGCTTTGGGTAGCAAAATAAAGCTAAACTGGTATATCTAATTCATCCGCAGAGCTTAGTATATTTCAATATGCACAACCTTTTCAACTCTTATAATTATTTTTTAAAATTTATATCACCATGTCTCATTCAAGGGAGAACTAGAGATATGACCAGATGTATATCTGTTGAATATAAAATATGTACATGTATTCTGTGTTTTTTTTTAGTAATTTGTTTGTTTGTTGTGACAGCAACTGTTATGGCAGCTTTTGGCAAAGGTTGAAGTTTCTCAAATGTAAGTCAAACTCCAAGGTCAAGGTCAAAGGGTCTAAATTGTTGGTATCAAAGGGAAAGTCTTGTCACAAGGAATACACATGTGAAAAAGGGAGAAATCCCTAGAACTTCCTCACCTGTTCAAAAGTTATTGCCAAGGTTAAAGTTAAATTGGATTCAACTCTAAGGTCTAGGTCAAAAATAATTATACCTGTTGAAAGTTCACAATGATTACACATGTAAGAGCATGAAAGTCCTAGCACCACCTGTTCAAAACTTACGCCAAGTTCAAGGTATTTTTCTTGTAAAATTGGGTCAAAATCCAAGGTCAAGAGATCAAGAGGTCAAAATTGGTGGTACCCATTAAAAGGTTTTGCCAAAAGAAATTTACCTATGAAATATTCAAGCCATGTGTATAGCCCAATCCACTTAAAAATATGGACAAGGTTAAAGTTTCCGTGGACAGACAAAAATACATAAACATAGGAAACAAAATATGTATAAATAGTCAATTGAAAAAATTTTCTACTATTATGGAGTCATAAGATCAATTGTCATTTCAGGTACAGGGAGTCAGTGGCTAGGGAGATCAGACCCCCCCCCCTGGAATTAGCAGTTATTTAAATAAGACTATATATGTACTGTAGAGAATAAATATGACTTTGGACATCCTCCCCCTTAGAAAACAGGGACTCCACCATCATTGTTTTTATTATTATTTTTTATTTCCATCTCAGGAAATCTTGGGCTGATTTTTGTGACTGAGGTGTGACACCCCCCCCCCTTTCTGAAAAAAAAAATTCTGGATCTGCGTCTGTTATATACTGAATGTCCGCAACGGGAGATAACTTGACAATGTGAAATTTGTCGACTGTGGCATGCGATGATCTTTGACCATGTTGACCCTTTTTGAACTTCAACCTAACCATTTGCATTTATTTATTTTTATGCAATCTATGCTAAATCTTGTACTTACCGAATGTCATAGGTCGTGACAACGAATTCATGAAATATAATCCATATAATCCAATTAAAACACAAATGATTTTAACTGACCACACTGCATCGTCAGCATACATGTGCTAAATAATCTCATTCGACAAACCTTTGCTGATTCCTTTGCCAGTATGAATTGGCCGAGGTGTGCCGAGAGGTGATATCTATAAATATGATAATGGGTGACGCAAACCCAATGTGAATGTAGAAAATAAAACTGTTTAGTACAAGAACAAATTTCAAACTATCATAATAAACTAAACTATGTTTTTTTAAAAAATGTGAGAGTGAGAGAGAGAGTGTGTGTGTGTGTGTGGGGGGGGGGGGGGGGAGGGGGGAGATAGGCATGGACAAATTAAGCGGGTTGTATTTTCAATGGGTTTTTTTCCGACCAAATACTTAAATCAGTTTGCACATTTTGATAAATTCATCAAAAACGCTTTGTACTAAAATAATATTTTATGTCGTTGAGAAAGTAAATTTAAAAAGTTCCAAATTATGGGGAAATTATTTATTTGAATCTAATTAAGTAATTTACTTCAATCATTAATTAAATTCTGTTATTTCAGACTGGTTATGAATTAAGTATTTTAAAATACATATGTGAGGCTCAGAGTTGATATGGTCATCTGAAAATTTTATGTTCAATTTGACGAATACATGTACGGTGATAATTATAGAATTATTTTGACTTCTTCCTTGGAAAGTCCAATATGAATGAGTGTATATTTAGAGGCAAACACCATAGTGCGGGTATTACTGTCTCATGACAGCATCTAGTTTTTTTCTTGGTATTGCAACTTACAAAGGACGTCATGTGAGGTCAGAGAGTCTAGACGCACCAAATGTCACGTGCCATTTGACGAGCCCGACCTAATTAAAAAAGTGAAGAGTTTGCCCTCGCTCTAACGGTCGCACTGTCAACATATTAAGCTTTACTTTAATTTACCGTGGTATATGTATATATATTAAATTAAGCTTCACTTCTGTCTTCAATATACCTTCTATTTACCGTATATGTCACATGTACAAGTAAATCTGCAAATCACCAGTGATTTTTTAATTGCCAAGACTCTAGAAATATCTCATGTGTTTGTTTACGACCATATTTTGATTTTTGCCAGATAGCAAGACTAATAGAATCATTCATTTCAACGCGTGCGGGATAGTGAAATTCCATCGAGGGGACAAGATTCATGGTCTAGAACGAGGCTTGGCCCCGAGGTTGAATTTCACGATTCCCGCACGAGTATGTAATGAATGACTATTTTTCTCGCATTATTTTGTCCAAAATAACGACCTTCAGTGACGACGCCATAGGGCTAAATATATATTCTTTTAATTTTCCATCCAATTAAAAATCTAAATACACCATTGGAGAGAGCATACCTGAACATGGTTTACACATAGTGTGAACTGATAAAATGAATTAATTTCAGTCCAGGTAAATAATTAGATAGATAAAAACTAGAAATACAAATCATCAATCCGATAGCGTACACATTTTCATTCTAGAAGAATCCTTTCGCGATCTTAAAATAATGCAATTACAAAAGTGAAAATACGACAATATTTTGAATAGAATTAAGTTTATATTAATATGTTAAAATGAAAACATTTTAAATATATGAGGTATTTTTTAACATTGTTAAAAATTCTTTATATGAAGACGGAACATTAATGTTATCGTCCACAGCGTAGTAATGCACAGTGTAAGACAGAAAAATCTCACACTGCTGTCTCACACCGGACAAGTCAATGTTGTACTGTGGGTTATGCGAAAAAAAGACTTGATTTTACACTATGAAATATGGAGATAACAAATAGTACACCCGTATTTTAGTAGTTCCTCTTTTCATCTCTCATTATATTTTATTTGTAGATGAAGATTGTTCAAAGACCTCATCTGTAATTATATCAGTTATTTCAACACTGGTTGTGGTAGCAATTACATCCGTAGTAGTTTTAATTGTACACAAAAAGAGGCTATCAAGAACCGTGCAAGGTGGAAAAAATCAACCAGACGAAGATAGAATAGAGATTGAAGAAAATCCCAAGACTTATAATCAAGTTGGAATTAAAAAAGACTGCCAGACCTATGATGACATCAATTCGTAATCTCTACTTGAAAACTCGACTAATCAATTGAATTGTTCTATATTTTGAGGGAGCAAATTCTTGTCTATATTTTAGCTCAGGATTAATTTTACACACTTAATTGTGGACGGATATTTCAGTAACTTTCCAATCATGACAAAGAGCACACGGCAGATGTGGTCAATTCGCTTAGGATGTTCTCTTTCTCATGACCTCTGATCCCGACTCTTAGTTTTGGAGTGCTTTGTTTGCTTTCTTCCACTTTTGTATTGTTTAATATAATTTTGGAGTTGAAAACAGTTCGGTATCTCCATTATGTCATAGAATGTGTAACCTCTTTTGTCTGAAAATGTTCTTTCTCTTTTCAATAAATTCAATGTAATTAGAACACTATAATAAATGTCTAATTTATTGCTAATGAAATAAGTTAGGTCCAAATAAAACTGGGACTTTCCAGATAATGTCATTAAATCAAAACGGAAGTGAATTGCAAGACGAACTTGATTTTATTTGTGAATTATTTTCTCTAAAGTTTCTCAGGATTCATGTTTGACATATTATGCTGAATCGTTCAGACGACATAAACTGCATCAGAATCTTTGATTGATGTTTTCATGTCATCCTTCTAATATATAATCATTCATGTAGATAATAACGAGAAACGAAATCAAGTAGAGAATATGTTCTATTGAAAAAGGAATATCTCTAATGATCCCCTACCAGTGAAAGAGGAGGTGCTATAGATTTCCTCTGCGCCTGTCCGTCTGTATGTCTGTCTCTCCGACCGTCCATCTGTCTGTTAGTCCCCCGCCCCATCTTGCTTTTTCCACTGAATACAGTGTTATTATTATTAGATGTCTTTTTTTCCAAAACAACAAACTGTGTTCTATTTGCACATGCCACCGTGAAAAATGTCACCTTGCTATTTTTTTTTTCATTCCTTTAAAACCCAAAAAAATAAAATTTTCTATAACAATTCTGTTTTGGTTAAGCTAACTTCATTGTAAGGAAGGGCATATTTTAGTAAATATTTGTTAAATCATTTTCCAATTTTCTAACCATTTACAATAGTCTTTTACAAATAAAATCCCTTCACTTCTGTTAATATTTGATGATTTCTCCTTAGACATAGATATAAAACACAAAATGGTTCAAAAAAGATAGTATTGAAGTAAACTACATAAAATTCAATATTTCAATATTGCAGGGAAAAATAAGGTTAAAATTATATTTTAATTTACAATTTCTTCCGAGTGTTTCGTTCAATATGAAAAATATAGTCTTTTCGTAAATACAAATTCTCCTTTTTGATTTCTAGACCCATCTTTATAGAAAGCGAGCTGAGTTTTTAATGCAGTATGTATTATTTACGCGATATTGCACCAATATGCAGAAATTTCAAATTACAATTAAGGAATGACTATAATTCTTGGCCAAATTATTCGATGATAACCTGGTTTGGGTCAGTTTAATTTACGCTTTATAATCCGCGAATTCCTTATAATTTAATTTTAAAATAAATAAACAACTGTGGGTGTAAAATTGTGTTGCTTTTTATGAGTTCAAATTTGCCGCTCAATAATACATCCCTAGTAAAGGAAGTGATATGAAACAAGGCGAGGTAATATCTGATATACAAATCTAGCAGCCATGATGTTTGTGTACACGAGGTAAGATCGAGCTGCTGTTTGAAGTTAAAGGTATATTTATTAAATCTGGAATTTCCCATGAATTCCAAGACTGGAAATGGGGGGATTGTATGGATACATATGATTCAGCTGGTTGTCAAGGGGGTGTGTGCCCATACCAAACCAGGTTATTAAGAAATAATTTGCGTTCCTTTTTGGTAATCAACCAATGAGAGACTACAATAAAAACAAAATTAAATTATAAGGGATTATAGTTTAATGTTCAAAAGCTTAACATAAACCTTACAGTATCCCCATGCATCGATTAATCTTGATCAATTCATGTCTGATATCGAACGTAAGATTTTCAGTAAAAAATAATCAGAACAGTAATCTTATATATAACCTAAGCCGTGTTGTAATGTAAATCTTAAATGATATAACCATAATAAAGTTGTGTTATGATTATGGAAAAAGGGTTAACTGACTATCGTGCAATTACGTCAAAATGTTAAACATACCGTTTACAAAAAAATTACTAAACAACAACGTTTATACACCCGGAAAAGAAAACCTATGTATATAGCTTTTAAATACATTTATTAATACACTCATATTCTAAATACGAACAATTTTTAAAATGACAAAAGCTATTAATAACAAACAAGTTGATGATATATTACTCTCTCGTTCAAATTAAAGATTTTTCGTGTTCAATGTTCAATTGCCGATACAGCGACTTTGTCATCAAATGTATCGTAGAGTCGGCTGTACATGCAGCAGAATCACAACTAGAAGTAAGATACAAGTATATAAATTATTTTTCCTTAATCTTTGTCTTTTTATCTTTAAAAGCGTTTTAATCTCTGAGATTTTTGAAATTCGGTTTTACATTACTGTATTTACGGTAAGGTGAAACCTGATTTCAAATACCTATCAGATAAAACGTTAAAATATGTTTAAACTTTACAAAGGAATTCATAACCGTAAGCCCCCTCCTCTCCCCAAGCCAATAAATTACAATAGGTATTTCAAGGAAGCATATAAGTCATTTCTCGGGAAATTTAGACATTTTAAAGAAAATTAAATTTTGTTAATTACCAAAACCGCTGATAAATGTAAACTGTTATTAACTTTTGCAAACAGATAAAAGAGTGTCTAACGCAAAGACGTACATCATCGCCACGGAATAATGTGACTTCTATTAATAGCAAACTTTTTCTTCATAAAAAGGCTAACAGAATAACAATACACCGGAGCTTAATACATTCTTTGTATGAATAATATAGTTGAAAAACATCTTATTTGCCTAAAATATGCTGCTTGAATCCCACTGTCCTGTCTATAAAATAATGATTCCATATATTCACATGAAACCTTACCCCATGTTTTGAATTTTATACATATGAATTTTTCGTAAACCCATGTTTAACTCGGGATTCAAGCAGCACTTTTCAAGTTTGTCAGAGGGCAGACTTTCCATCTGTACAAATCTTATGTTTTGAAATATCCAGCTTATTGTTGTTCTATCGCATTTTTGGCACAAATGACAAAGGAAAGGCCGACCGGGAAACGTTATATAGCTAACTGTCTTCAAAATAGAATATAATTGATGAAAAATAAATTAGCATACCTGTATGATTAACTGAACTCCATATGAATTTCACATAATATTCACGATATTTCCTTTTAAACTCAATTTAACGTATCTATTTACCATGTCGTCTTAGCCAAATTCTCTTTACACGACGTGATGAATTCCCAAGTTACTTGATGTACAAGTATGACGTCATCGGTGGTAGATTTTGATCAACATGACAGATAATCAAAACAAAATAAAAACATTTTATTTCTGTCAATGTTTACACATTTCTTTCATTTTATAGAGTTAAATTACATTTCTAAACACCAATATTACGAAAACGCGTGTGCTAGAATTAATGTCATCTTGCCTACTATGACGTCATAATGTTGCACTGATTTAGTCAAGGTAGATATTTTGTTTTGCTTCTTTATTACCCCTGCGTAGATTGCCGGGACACCTTATCTCTCAAAAACCAGTGCTCTTCTTTTAAAAAAAGTTTTAGAATTTTCTCGACCCTACCCTAGTTAATTTATTATTATTATTATTTTTTTTATTTATTTATTTTTTGGGTGGATTTGGTGGCTGAATGAAATAGCTTCTTATGGGCCTGCCATTTATATCTTTATACAAGGAAAAACGGCTGGAAATCTACTATCAAAATACATTGAAATGCTTTTTTTTTAATTCATCAAAGTTTTTCTTGTATAAGCACACCGAGTTCGACAATTTTTCCAAAAATTGATATGTATTTTACAAAATCTATACATTTCAAAGAAGTATATTTACTAGAATAAGGCTTTCTTCCAATAACCAAAGTATAAAAATAGGAGAATATTAGTGATCAGACCATAAAAGATGAATATCATATTTTGCTTGAATGTCCTGTTTATGATTCTTTAAGAAAAAAAGATATCTCAAGATATCTCAACCCATATTAATTCAGAATCGAAAAAAGTACAGGCTTACTCAGTAACTCAGCTCTCGTGATGTTGGTGAAAGAAAAATTAATGCTCCATGCAATGGATTTCAAAAATAATGAATACTTTGATTTATATGTATACAAGTATTATGTATTTTAGTCTTGCATTAAAAGAGAATTTAGAATACATTGAATTTCTGTTATTTTTGGTGTTGGGTATTTGGAGAGGTTTGACACAAGGGGTTCCATCCCCCAACCACCTCACCACCACCTACACTCTCGTCATGTGTCCTCCATAAAAAATATTTTTGTTTATACTGATGAGCCGTATGACTTCGTTATTCAGTAAAGAATTATATATAAAATTGATACGGTTGAATCGAAATTTATATATTTGATTTTGGTTTGTTGAACTACCTACAAAGAAAATAATAATAAATAACAATGCAGTCGTCTCTTTCTAAATGTAGTTCTAAGGTAGATTGATAAAGTACTTTTCTGAGATTGATAACTTTGAGATAACTCGCGATATTACGCATTGACCAAGATGGTTAAAATGTGTTTACAAAAGTTGAGCATTTGAGAGGAAGTTTTTTTTTTGAATTACAATCTAAATCATTCATTCTTGTCATATCTGATACAATTTATCAGATAATACGTGTTATTCAAAGCGCTTTTCAATTTTTATTTCAAAGCAACTATACATCTGTGTTTGTCACTTGTAAAGTTTCAGATAATACATCGTATGGTGTTAATGAAAACACGTACTAGATAGTATAGAGAGGAATTTTTTAAAATTTGATTATGCTCCGAACCTTCTAAAGACAAAGAAGCATGAGGTTTAAACGTATCTGTCACCGATATTTCTGACGATGATTTTGACAATATCAACATTAATTTTTTTTTAATAATGAAAGATATATAAAAAAAGTTAGATTACTTGTAAATACTGTATACAGAGTTATTTTTGCCCTTTGACACTTGCAAACAATTTTGTCCCGGTTTAATTTCGCCCAGTCATAGTTTTGTTTAAAACATTATAATGTATTCTTTGAATTCGCCCCGTTTTAAATTCGTCCAAATGAGGGTAGGGTGATAGGGTGAAAATTAAACGGGGGCGAAAATTTTCCCTGTATACAATATCCCATAAAGCTATATAAACGGTACTTGAATATTTTTGTCCATTGCCTCTCATCATAGACATGTGAATATATCCTCACCGCATGACACCCAAAAACTCTGATTGTAGATTTCCT